AAAAAAAAATATATTTTTGATATGGTATATTCCCCTCTATGAAAATTATAGTGATTTTTCTTAAAAACAGATTAAATATTTGACCTCTCTAATGTATAAAGTTATTTATTATTACAAGTTATAAATCAGATTGAAAAGTATTTTCAATTAAAAATTGATACAATTGAAAAGACTGAAATTACAACTGAACAGTATTCTTACTGTTAAATAAGAATTACCATCTCCCCATGAGGACTATGAAACGGTCGCGGTAAAACAGCACCGAGCATGATACATGCACTTTGTTGTATCTTTGTTCAGCAGCTGGTATTTTTAACTATATTTTGTTTGGAGAGAAAAAAAAAACTAAACATCTCTCGAAATCTGAATGCTTTTTTATTTGCTTATATAAAAAGGAAGAGGCTTAGCTCTTTTTTTTTTAAGAGGAGATAATAATAACTTTATTTTGGCAAAAGTAAATTATCATAATTTTTCCAGCCTTGTCCTTCATCCTGACTCCCTTTTATTGAGAGTAACCAGCAGAAACTGGCCACATCATTGGTAACAAGGTGGAGAAAAGAAGAAAACTCTTTTTCCCACAAAGACTCTCTTCCTTGTATGGCAAGGAGCTGGAGTCTACCATTTGGACCATCAGCCCTTAAAGAATTTAATATTGTAGTTACATTGAAATTATTCTGTTGTTCCCAAAGTGACCATTATGCATGGACATTGGAGTTAAGGGTATAAGACCTATTGTTGGCTTGTGAAGGTTCATTTGACTTTATTAAAACATATTCTGCCCTTGTAATATCTGATCAGGATTGTGCCTTGGTACCAGGGAAGCAGAGTTAATATTAAAGCATCTCATTCTCCTTTAAAAGAGGACTTGGTTTGAGAAGCCAAGTGTGAAAGTGGCTCGGCTGATCAGTGTCAGTAATGTGATTGACACCTGATACTTTTCAGCATCTGGATGGCCTGAGGCACTGGCCTGGGTGCTGAGGACACAGCACTGAGCAGAACAGACATGCTCCCAGGCCCCGGAAGTCTTACTGTCTTTTGGGAAAACTGGGATGGACAGTCAGCGGCTGTGTGCGACGTGTGCCAGGCCGGTGCTGGGAAAAGAGACTCGGCAGAGTTGGATGGCAAGAGAGGAGGGCAGTGGAGAAGACGGTGTCTCTGGAAAGGTGGCATCTGAGCAGGAACCTGAAGACAGTGAGGGAACCACATGGACGTCCAGGGAAGGGTGTTCAGGTAGCGCACAGAGCAAGTGCAGGCCAGGAGGGAGGAGGAAGCTTGGCGTCATCACAGGCTGGCAGGGGAGGTGTGGTATGGAGCAGGGGCAGAGGGAGAGGTGAAGAGTCA